TTAAAAAAAAAAAAATACACATTATACTTTATAATTAATTTAGGTCATTAAAATTCCTCTTGTTTCAGGTGTGATGACTACAACCTAAATTTAATCTTAAGGTATCTCTAGTAACCCCTTTGTCCAAAAAACCCCCTACAATATCACAACTAACATCAGAATAAATAAGAAAGTTGTTAATCAAATTTTGCCAGTCTGTAGTCTTTAGCTGAAGTTTCCTATATGATAGCTAACAATAGAAATACAGTACAGGTAGTACTTGCTTAACAACTGCCCATTCAGTTACAATGGCTCTGAGAAAATAACTTTACAACCAGTCCTTGCACTTACAACTGTCGCAGTGTCCCCAGAATCGCATAATTGAGATTTGGGCACTTCACAACTGGTGGGGGTTTACTACTGTTGCAGCATCCCACGGACACATGATCACCATTTGCATTCTTCGCAGCCGGCTTCTGACAAGCAGAGTCAGCAATAAAATTGCAAGTCGTGGTCATGTGATGTCTCGCTTAATGACTGCGTCACTTAGCAGTGGAGTTGCTGGTCCCAATTGTGGTCATTAAACAAGAACTACCTGTAGTACTATTTTAAAAAGAAGCAAAGCCTTAAGTATGACTGTGCAGGACTTTGGATTTGATGCCCAAAACATGTTCTCAGGAGTGCAGGAGTACAAGTATTGCCTCTGCCTGCAACTCCTAATAGCAAACACATCTTTTCTTGGGAGGGCAGCTGTACTTTAAGAATCTAGATATATTTGTGCCCACTTTGAAGCACTGCACTTGTTAATTCAGATTCAGACACAAAAAGTTGCTTTCAAACTTGTTGGCACACCTACATAGAACTTGCCTGTAACTCCTTAAAGCAGCCGTACCCTTTCTTAGGTTTGTGCTGCAGCTGCTGATCCTGGGAAAGAAGTCACTGCTTTAAGGAATCACAGGCCAGGTGCCCAATATGCTCCAAAGCACATTTTGGTCAACATGGCTTATACTACTTTAGTTACAATTTCATCAAATTAAAATGAACATTGTATTCTTTCCTTGCTTACTAAAAAGTGCTTCCCTTTCATTTTGCTTGCAGTTACTAGCAAAATTGAACTGAAGCAGACACTTAAACAAGACCAACAAAATCAAGTCCAGTATTTAAGGTGCACAGTGAATGAACTCAAAGCTGAGAAGCTTCAGGTTTCTAGTTGCATGCAGCGTCAACAGCAACTTGAAGAACAGACTGTGGAGTTAACAACTGAGGTGCAGTCTTTAAACAGAGAGATCAAGGTAAAATGCCTAAGGAATATTTATTTATATTTATTTATTTATTAAATTTATCCCCGCCCATGTTACACATGCTGCTCCCAGGTTCGGCTTATGGTCACTCACTCACACATTCACAGCCTGTTGAGGGACACGGATCTTGTCAGCCCCCCTTGCTTTCTACCTGGGTTTCCAGATAGGTGCGGCTGGAG